TGAACCCCCAAATACAATCCAGTGACGTAATATTTCTGCCAAATACATAAAAATAGGCATGTTATGACTAAATCTCTGAACCCCCCCCTCCGCCTCCTGCTCTGATGTTTACTCGTCAAAATAATTTTTTAGATTTTTTTCCAATTTATTTTGGTAATCTCTCGTAGCTAGCTGGCAATTCTGCATCTTGGATGAGCTGATAGCCATGACTAAGAGACAAGACAGGCAGTTACCATCCCATAGACGTACCCTAGATGTGCCCACATCACACACTAAGAGGACACTACTAATGATGTTATTCCTGTAACTAATAAACATGGTATGATAAGGGGGGGGGGACCAGGTACTAGCTACACTTCAGAATACCATGAGAATGCCATAGAATGCATCAAGATTGAAAATCTGATCATAATTAACAGACTTCGTCCTCGAGTGCGACATCCCCCTTAAGGCTTACACAGTGACAACGAAGAAGAATTAGACTTTAGTTACCATCCCAGTTTAATATTTGAGCCCATCAAGAGCTCCAAATGCTGAAATAAGTTATCAAAATCAAAGCAATCCAGTCAGTAGAAAAAAGCGAACTAAAGTTTAACGTTACCAGATATAAAATTATTTAGTTTATTATTTTACAGTGTAAACGTACTTTATCTTGTAGTACATACCGAGGTGAAGAGAATATGTCCCGGGGAGTGTTGGTGGGCAGAGCCCCCCATCAACCCTCCCCTCAGGCAGTGCCCAAAGGGCACACCTAGGCATGGCAACTTAAATTGTTATATATGGCTGGTTTAATGGTCAATACATCTTTTGGGGGATTTCAAAAGTGTGAATTCCTATAGAATTTGCCAAAAGGTCGGTTGAGTTCCTGAAGAATTTTTGAATTTTGACGCTTTAGTACGTAGAATGTCAAAGATAGCAGTTACATCCATAGTTTCATTGACCAATATTAAGCATTTTTTTGTCCTAGTTTTACAATTTTTTTTATCTTTATTCTTCTTATTTAAGCCTGTTTTACCCATAATTTCCCTGATATACTTCATGCCCTCCCCTGATATCAGGTCTAACAAATCACGATCGTTGATGGAGAAATGCTATTTGATCTCAAGGATTCATTCGCAAAAGAAACAACAGAATAAGTTAAAGACACCGACACGTGTAGAGAGAGAAAAAAAAGGACAGTGCTATCTTATAGAGCGGAAAAAATAGAGTGGGATAGAACATATTTTAAGCTGCAAAGCCTTATGGTCACCACTAAATGATGAAAATATAACACGCCTCTCAAATTCAAAGTCGATGAGCTTCTTATATAGAGCTAGAACACCGGTGAGAAATGTTGCGTTTCCAGTGTTGTGTTGATTCTGGGTTCTTTTTAAGACTTTTATAGTAGCATAGAAGAATAATTAGACTTTAGTAACCATTCCAGTTTTATATCTAGGCCCATCAAAAGCTCCAAATGACGAAAAAGGTGATTAAAATCGAAGCAATCCCGACGGTACAAAGAAGCAACGAAAGTTTGATGTTTCCAGATATAAAGGTATTTGGTTTATCATTTTACTGTGTGAATGCAGCTCTATCTTGCCGTGCGTACCAAGGTGGAGAGAATGTGTCCCGGGGGTTGTTGGGGGAATTGCCCCCATCAACACTCCCCTCGGGCAGTGCCCAAAGGGCACGCCTAGTCACAGCAATTTAAATTGATATATTAGGTTGGTTTATTGGTCAATACGTTTTTTTTTGGGGGGGGTTGGAACGTGTAAATTCCTGTAGAGTTTTGCTGAAAAGTGGGTTGGGTTCCCATGGAGTTTTTGGTTTCTGGTGCGTCAGTCTGTAGAATTTCAAAGATGGCAGTTACATCAGTAAAGTTTCATTGGCTGATTTTAAGCATTTTTAGTGCTAGTTTTACACATTTTTTATCTTTATTCTTCTTATTTAAGCTTGTTTTTCCTAATAATTACCCGGATATACTTCATGCCCTCCCCTGCTAACGGGACTATCAAATCAAGATCATCAATTGAGAAATGGTACTCGACCTCCTGAACGACTCATTCGCTGAAGAAACAACGCCGAAAATCAATGAAATCATTGGATTTCCTGCAAAAAAAAACATCAATTTTTTTTTACAGTCTCTGGGAGGGTGCGTCGCTCTCTGTAACAATTACCGAAACAACACTAAGACTCAAGGAAATCATTGCATTTCCTGCAGAAAAACATCATTTTTTTTCAATTTAGTCTCTGGGAGGGTGCATTGCTATCGGTGACAATTACTGCTATTAAAAGCATGCTCCTATATTTACTAATATTCAATATGTCTAAAATGCAGGAATTGCTTCATCAACAATAAATAATGTAAAATCAAAAACAAGCATAAACAAAACCTGCTCAGCTTGATAGGAAACTACAGGGTAAAAAGACAAAAATCAACTAGTGTGCACATGACTCATGACTATCTCTTCATCATGAGTGAGAATAAAGAATTCATCGACTGCGCTGCAGGTGAACTGAAAGCAACTTTTTCTTACCTATCCAAACTCACCGGGAAGAGGGACAAGAAACGTTTATTAGCGTTCGTGGATTCCGAGCGAATACGGGAGACGTTCGAGTAAGGCGACTGCCTCCGTCAATAGGAAAACCTTAAGGGGCCCTCACACGATCAATTTTTTCGTCAATTAATTGATATCAACTTATTGACGTCAATGAATTGATGGAAATCACTGTGCCCTCACACGGTCAATGATTTTACTTCAATTTTCAGTTTGATTCATAATTTCGAGATGAAAGCATCTGTGGCACTTGGAGTAGTGCTTGCTCTGGACACTCCAAAGCGAAAGAAGAGGAGTAAGTGGGTAAAGAAATGGTATCTCTGTCGAAGGGAACAAGGACATACAAGATTGCTGAGGGAATTAAGGGACGACGAGCCAGAGGATTACAGGAATTTCAGCCTTTTTCTCCCGGTCACTGTACTCGTCGGATATTATTTTCCACAAGGCCGATAAGGATCTATAAACGTCGATTATCTCCATCATCATTTTACGCTCACTTTCTTTCTTCTTTTCAGCCATGATTACGATGACGACTCTTTCACTGCTGCAAGGGAAAACACTAAATTATTGATCAATATTGACGCTTTGCCCACACACGCTCAATTTTATTGAAGACCCATCATTAAATATCAAAGGAGTTTTGATCTATCAATGAATTGACTCAATGACATTGTTTCAATTAAATTGATATCAATGTCCCCCTCACACGGTCAATTTCTCCATCAATTCATTGACGTCAATAAATTGATATCAATTAATTGACGAAAAAATTGATCGTGTGAGGGCCCCTTTAGATTATCCGCGCGCGCGCGCGTGCGTGCGCGCGTGTGTACATATGTATGTGAGTGTGTGTGTGTGTGTGTGTGTGTGTGTGTGTATGTGCGTGTGCGTGTGTGTGTATGTGCGTGTGTGTGTGTTGTGTGTGTGTTGTGTGTGTTGTGTGTGTGTGTGTGTGTGTGTGTGTGTGTGTGTGTGTGTGTGTGTGTGTGTGTGTGTGTGTGTGTGTGTGTGTGTGTGTGTGTGTGTGTGTGTGTGTGTGTGTGTGTGTGTGTATGTGTGTGTGTGTGTGTGAATGTGTTCTTTCCTAGTTTCAATACGGGAGAAGAGCTAAGCTCAGGCCGTCCCGTTTGCTATATTTAAATTGTCGTATAATTTTTTAATTTGATGCACATATTTGGCACACACTACGATTTTGGTGAGACTGCTCCGGGCTGCAATAGTTCTGTTTGGGAAACTAATTTTTTTGATATCTTTATCATCTCTTTTTAC